ATGCATATATACTTCAAATGCATTGTCACAAATACAAAGCATGTTAAGTTCCCCCTCCCATAATCCATTCATTACATGTAGTATCATTGATGAGGGTAAACACACCAAGGATAACAGGTAAGCCTTCAACACCTACATATCTCATTGTAACTAATCTAATAACAATCGACTCCTTTTATTCAGCCCACGATGAAATGAGTACGGAATGCCGCCGTGGCTGTCCTTTTCGGCGAAAACCGGTACTCACGTGATGGAAAGCAACTGGCCCTAAAGTCAACGAAAGACAAAACAGCGCGCAAACAATCTCGAGCTTCTTTCCCATCTTCGTGCAGCATCCGTGTAGTTTGTAGAGTATATAGCTTTTAGAAACATTTGTGCGTGCTAGTAACTGAATTCCAGATGACCGTAATGTAATAGAAATGCCAGGAAATCCTCATGGAAGCGGAATACCCTGAGAGACCAACGAAACATATGAAGCTCGAGGCAAGTCCCCCTTATTCTTGTGAGATTTCTTAGCAAGCTAATCACGCAACAGAACCCAGAAGTTCTTCAATTTTTGGATCTCGAAGCTGAAGTATCAGAGGCGGAAACCGATGATGAGAATAATGGCAATGAAGGTGTGTATCATACGTTGTAACGATAGCTACTACACTTCTAATCATTTTCAAGGTGATCTTATCGACGACGATGAAGACATCGATGATTCAATCTCAGGAGATGCGCACCGCAACCTTCTCCGTGAAGCGTTGATGCCGTCCGATGACGATGTGTTTTGGGAAAGCTTTCTCGAGCGCGTCACGGCTCATCGACATATTACGGAAGAAGACATTCAAGATATCGGAAAACCGTCTTTATGGGCGGTGCTTGTCAAGGTAACACTAATCCAATCTTTGAAGCTCATATTTATAAGGACTTTTCTACTTAGCCTGGGTATGAGGAGGGGATAGTCTGTCGAGTCCATCGGCGGCTCATGGACCCTAGGTTTCCTGCACAGTTTCGACCCCCAGCAGTCTTTGGTTGGAAGGCTCTACCTGGTAGAGTGTTTTTTGAAGGTGGTTCAGAGGAAATGATTTGACAAGTCTGTAATGGCCTACCAAACGTGATGGTCTCGAAGACTTTCCACATACCCGATCCCAACCCCTCGATGTTCAATGTTCCGGATACCTTTCGGCCACGGCCTCATTCATGGGTTCGACTGCACCGTGGGATCTACAAAGGAGATCTCGCCTACGTTCGGGAGGTTACTACTTATTCAACATTGCTCATCAACCTCCTTGTGGTACCACGCGTTGATTATGACCCACCCAAATTCAAAGGAAGCCGGATTATCGCATATGAGGACAGAAATAATGAGATGGACGACAAGTTTGCAGCGACCTACAAGCCTGACCGCAAGCTATATAGAAGAGCTTCAGCACCAGGGCGGCCTCGCCAAGCCCTCTTCAATCCGACACTGGCGAAGCAACGGTATCGACGGGCCTTTCAACAACGCAACAACCTGTTTTTATTCCGCGGAGTGTTGTACGATGCCGACGGATATGCCTATTTCTCAGAAGTCGACACGGATTGGTACACGGCAGAAGATGTAGTACCAACATTGAGTGAATTGGAACTTTTCAACGCCTGCTCGGACATTCCTCTCAACGTCCGACAGCACACGATGGCGAGAATGTCAGCCAGGATCCTTCAGATAGGCGATGAGGTAAAAATCACGCACGGAGATTCAAGGGGGCTTCTTGGAACAATTATTGATGTAACGGAAGGCGAAGCCGTCGTCTTTTTGACAATGAAGGATGTAACAACTACCTTACCTTTTTCGTCGCTTCGAAAAGATCTCAAAGTAGGGGATGAAGTCCGCATTCTTTCGGGAGACCATGAAGGTGTTACAGGTTGGGTAGTGAATCAAAATGATGACTGCGTGTGCGTCTTTGATGACAGGACCGGTACTGAGGTGAATATCTTGCTTTATAATATATATGGCTCTTCTAACATTCCGTCATCTTGTAGATAGAGGCATCCCCTGGGATTGTTCAGTTCTTCACCTCCCCCTTCATCTTTGGAACGGGGTCCTCGGACTTGAAAGCTTCCTTCACAGATGCGCAAAAGCGTGTCATGAAGGGGGACTCCAATAGTCACCTGGTAGGAAGACATGTGATGGTCACCCACGGGAATTTTAGAGGTTACCGAGGCAGAGTAAAAAGCACAATTGGTGAGAAAAGGGTCTTTGTCGAGCTTGAGGCGCTCCTCCAACGCCCACAAATTTTGGACATCAGTTCTCTACACATCATGTAAGCCCATTCTCTTATTTTTCTGAATCGATACTAATTAGCTTCCAGCGCTGATGAAAGCCTTCAGCACCCCAGGCCTCGAGAGCTTCTTACCGACTTTACTTACCCACTCGAACCAGCACCTCCGCCTGGTACTCTGGCAGGCTTTTTGTTCCCTGGTTACCCCTTGCCAGATTCGCAACCCTCAATCCCATATCCTGCTCCTTTTCGTGCACAGACTCCGGCCATTGCAGGGCCATCTACTCTGCTTCCTAACTTGGAAGATATCCCGATGACCCCAGCTTGGAACCCAAGCTCACAAACCCCGCGCCGTGGTAATGATGGTAATTATGTTTCTGTTAGAAAGTCAATAGATACTGACAATTGTGGCAGCCTCTTCTCCGTATTGGCTCAGAGATGGCTGCTTCGCCAACATGAGACTCAGCCTTCGTCTCATCAACACCAAACCTAATTTTCACAAGGGCGAGCACGAAGATAAGTGTGGGGAGTTCAAGGGAGTGGTCGGAGATGCGGTCAAGGTCCAGCTAGGCTTCAAAGTGTTGGAAGTGCCATTTCCATACCTTATACCTGAAAGGCCAGAGTGCAAATCCCAGGTCGTTACCGCATTTACCGGTCCACATAAGGGGTCGCAGTTTAGAATTAAGGAGTTTGGCGAAGAATTTTGTGGCTGCTCGATTTTGAGATCAACAACACTTTTGAGAAAGGTTGATGTCAAAATCGCCACCAATGAACTGGTAGTCACCCGAGACAGTCGGCGATAAACTACATATACCGTAGATATATTACAACTGCCTTAGAGAGATTTTTTTGTATGTTTTACACATATCTTGATGGCAAGGTATATATTCTTGATCTTATTGCAAGACTTTGAGGCTTGAGATGACTGAATGAACGAACTTGAACACTCACGATTTATGACCGGCTTAGTCAGCTCCAGCCGGCTTCTTAGCCGGAGCTGGAACTAGCCGAGCTGTGGGAGCCATCACTCGGCGGTTCTGGCTGGGCTTCAGCTAAACTCGGCTCGGCTCCTGACTTGAGCTGGCTCCGAGCCGGAGCCGCGGCAACACTAATTCCACTAGCCTATGTTCAATGGGTCGCAAGCTTCCTGTCAGACCGAGAGGCCGCAATATGCATAGACGGAAAAAGGGGAGAAATGGGACACGTAGAAAACGGAATCCCCCAGGGATCCCCAATATCGCCTATTCTAGCCGCCTTCTACACGGCAGAGCTGCTAGAAGAGTTCCAGTGCGGAACAACAGTCCAAGCCGACCCAAACCCAGACAAGGCGACAAGCGTACACCTCATCATGTACGTGGATGATGGGAAACTATATGTGTCATCGAAGTCACTGGAGACAAATGTGGAGAGGTTGAAAGAGGCACATGAAAGGGCAGAAACGTGGCTGAGGAGTGCAGGTCTGTCCCCAGACTACGGAAAAAGAGAGCTCATGCATTACACCAAGAGGAAAAAAGATGGAAGCCCATCAATTACATTTGACGACAAAGATGGAACCCGCCGGGTGGTCAAGCCAGAAGCAACGGTGAGATGGCTGGGGGTATACTTCGACCGAAAACTCCGATTCCAAAAACACACAACAATCCTCGCAGCCCGTGGCGACAATGCAGTGAGCGGCCTCACAATGCTGGCCAACACTAAGCCAAACCCACTTACGGCACCTTTACCTAGCCTGCGTATCTCCAAAGATACTCTATGCATGTCCAGTATGGTGGACAGGACACCAGTACCAAATAAAACCTCTGGAAAAGGTACAAAGACGCGCGCTCAGGCTAATATGCACAGCATTTAGGACCACCCCCATTGAGGCACTTGAAATAGAGGCGTCGATCCCACCAATAAAACACCAAGTCAGCCTACACGTTAAACGATGTGCCATTCGATTCAACAAACTTAGCCCATCGAGCCCAGTCATCCAAAGACTCCCACAGCCGTGGAGGAAAGCCGGAGATAGAACCACACCACCACCCCTACAACTGAGGCTCAACAACAACTCAGCCACTGACCGGGCCAGGACAACAACCCTACTCGACATTGCTAAGCAAACCTGTTTCGCACACGAACGAATTAACCCCTACTTAGTAGCCCCATGGCGCCGCACAACCTCCAGCTTCGGCGGCCACATTACCATAGACACTTGCAAACCAGAAACCAAAGACAAAGAAGAAAAACAACGTTTAATAGACAGCCATAAAGAAAAGTACAAAGAATTATCAAGAAAGAAAGAAAACCTAATTATATACTCGGATGGATCCATGGTGAAGAAGAGGGGCTTTCCCCAGGTGGGGGCGGCAGCAGTTGGATTTCATGGAGGGGAGGAGGTTTTCACAGAGAAGATGGGAATGGGAGGCAGAGCTGAGGTTTATGACGCGGAAATGGCTGGGCTGAAGATGGGAGCAAGCAGGGCGGCCAAATTCATCACGAACCATCCAGAAGTCAAGAACATTCACTTCTTTGTTGACAACGCAGCAGCTGCTGAGGCAATATTTGACCCAAAACCACAACCAGGCCAACTCTACGCAGCTAGGTTCCACCGGAGGATGGCCCAGTTCCTCGATGACGACCCCACACATACAATCACAATTGCATGGTGCCCAAGCCACTGCAAAATAGCGGGCAACGACAGAGCAGACGAGCTTGCTAAAGAAGCAACGCAACTCGCGTGGAACGCACCAATAAGCACCTCGAGGGCATTTGCCCTACGCCGGGCCAAAGCATCCACACAAACAGCCTGGGCTCGCAGCTGGCAGAAATCACCCCACAAGGGGAGATTTGCTATCGCCAACAGGATTCCCCCGTCCCTAAACCCCACAAAACACTTCATCGAGCTCAAAGACCAACGTGAGGTCTTTGGACGACTAGTCCAGTGCCGCACTGGCCACGCATACACCGGGGAATTTCGTAAGCAATTCTTCCCAGAGAAGTCCACGAACTGCGAGTGTGGGGAAGACCCTCAGACCCGGGAACACATCATCAGGGAGTGCACCCGATACGAAGACCAACAGGCTATACTACGTGCCCAGAACCGTGAACTCGCACTACCAGAACTTCTGGGAACCCCCAAGGGGATTGCGGCGTTAGCTACTTTCATTCGGGAATCAGGCGCCTTCACGTTCACCGGGGAAAAATACACACCCAAGGGACCCCCCTCCTTCTTCGAAGAGCCAGAACCGCCTGATATAGACTCAGAGGATGATGAGTCTGACATGGGAGAGACATAGCCCAGCCATGCCACCATACCCGCGAACAAACCCCCGCGTGCGCAGGAGCGCTCGCCTTTACCTCAGCGTCACTGACGCACCAGACCAATTCCGGATTCACGGCCCTTATACCTCCAACCTTTCACATATCCTATACCTTATGGCTACACAAAGGACAGTAATATTCACATAAGTGAAGATCCACGGCTCAGTTACACCGAAGGGAAGCCTTACTCTTCCCGTGCGTCTTAGTACTAGACTACTTGTTGCACGTAAATCTAGATAATCCAAAAAAAAAAAAAAAAAAATTGAATCACGTGCCGTTCTGATCGCTGGAAAGCCGTCGCTTCAGCCTTGGCTTCCTGCCAACTCCTTGCTTGGCTCAGCCCTTTCTTCATGCTCACCGTACAATGTCCGTAGGCGTTGACTTCCCTTCAACTTTTAACTCCCAAGGGTTCAATGCACACCTAGTGCCATGAGGCAATGACGTTCAAGCTTCGCACAGGCAGGACGTTGCGCATTTTGACGAGAAGGGTCCTCGATGCTCATTGGAAAACCAAAAGAAAGAAGGCGCTGAACGAAGCGAACCCTGACAATGTTGTCGAGGAGGCGCGTATCTTCTACTTCCGTGCCACCAGTCGTGTCTCATCCACCTCTTAGCCTTCCACATTCCACTGCCAATAGCACAATTCCCGTTCTTGTGTTAGAGTGCGTGCGGGACGAGATGTGTCAATTATCCCTCCTCCTCCACGTCTGAACAAACCTGCTCGTGCTTTCTCTTGCTCTTGCATAATTCCCGACCTGATTCGAATCAGGCCATATGAACCCCGCCCTAGAGCTCCTAGGCGAAGGATACATGCAGGAGTATAGAATAGAATCTGTTCCAATTTTTGTCGAGTGCGTATTGCCCTCTCATCTCCATTGCGAGTAACGATTTCGCGTCCTTTCTTTTGATAACGAACGTTGACTAATCCTCATTTACATCTCCAGCAGCCCACCCTGTGACCCAGCGGGGCGTATGTCGCTATCTAAGCCCTTGGTACGTCGCTTCAGACGCACACAAATTTTACGGTCTCCTCAGATTGCGATGTCTTCAGTACAGAATAAGTGGGGCGGCGACATTGGCGTTTGAAGTAATTTCGGTCGTAGCCGTTGCGACACGCGAAATTTTTTGGTACTGACAGGTAAATTTTGAAGGCGGACGGGATGCGGGGGTTTGTACTTGAATCCCTGATCTATATTTGCGCTGATAACTTCGCGAGTTTTTTTCAGCTGCAGGACGGGCGACTGCCCTCTTCTTCTCAACCCGTTTCTTCCAATTAAAGAATAACGTTCTTAGACTCTGACATCCGCCTTCACTCCCCCAACAAGACATCCCCGAGGTATGTATTCATGTCATTTAATCCTGACAACACCACCTTGCGCTTCAATTGCCCCCCTTCAACTCGATGGATTATGTCCCGCAGGTCAGACAACCATATCTTGTAATCTCAATCAGAGTATAAGCTAACATTTCATGTGGCGAACGATGTTTTCAGCAGAGCTAGAGTCAAGGAATGCTACATTGTACAAAGTAAGTAATATAGGACTTTCCGGGAATACGTTTAATCTGGGACTATGGGAGAAGGTCAACGATCCGAGTCATAAAGGTTGGTCATAGATTTCAACCAGTGTATCCTTGAGGCTCCGTTTTTACTGAGCTCGCATAACTGAACCGAGATTGACGCCGAGAATCCCTTCGGCGAAGTACGAACCAAACCACCACAATCGCCATAATTACAAGGAGAGCAACTCCTCCGACCACCCCCCCTGCTATAGCACCAGAATTCGGCTTTTTTTTAGGACTTTGCATATTGGTCGGAGAGACCCCTAAACCAGTTGTAGTTGCGGAGGGTCCAGCCACAGATTCGGCGCCTCCTGCAGCAGAGAGATGGGATTCAAGCGGCATTGTAAACTAGAAATGAAGTTCAACATACCTGCCGCTTGTGCTAAAGACGGATCAAAAGCACCACTTCCCGCCTATCAGATTGGGTTATTTTACCATCGTCAGCGTAGTGGTGGTTTCATACAGTAACATCCAGGTACGCATAATTGGGCACCCTCACCCCGGCGGGGAGGGGATCGGGAAAGGTTTGCACGTAAATGGTGCTGCAGTTCGTTGCGTACATCTTCCATCTATGAAAAGCGTGAGGAATCAAGGGCGCTTCACAGAGTCTGAATAAGAGACGGACGGGATGGTCTCACGGCTCTGGCACACAGCACATGCGCTCAGCATCGAAAAGTACACCGTACTGCAACTACATTCATTCCGGGATTGGACTGTTGGCCCAACATAATAATATCCTGGGGGAAGTTGAGGAAGGGGACCTGACACAAGGGAGTTATGGTCTGGATAAGCGGCGATAGGTATAAAATATCACCTGCACCTGGTGCGCAAACGCCAAGAAGTGAAGCAGCAATATCACAAGGACTCTGGCCTTGAGAATTGTATGTCTAACTCTGCCAGTCAGTCGGTCAAATATTTATTGTACCGTCGTGCCCGCATACCCAGTTGAATCCCGGTGAACATATGGCTGCGGCTGCATAAGACGGGGCGAAGGCCAGCAGTAAGGTGGAGAATACTCCCAGCATGTTTATCACTACAGAGGGAAGGGAGAGTCGGTCCAACGTATTCGATGCAGCGGACCTTTAATGTTCCTCAAATGAGTGAAACACTGCCTTCATTGCCTCATGGAGTCATGGTGCCTTGAGGCGCTCGCCGCTAACTACGATAAACTTAAGGCGCTTAAGGGACGGAGGGCTTGGCGGCATTTTGTGTTCCGTGTTTGGACCATCTGGCATCCACTATTCGAGAGGTATGCTCGATTAGTATGGATAAAAACGAAACGGACTCTGATAGTATACTGAAGTTAGGTGTACACTTGTCACTGAGTCTCACATTCCAAAGACGCTGTACCTGATTCTTATCGACTGGCGCACGTAAAGATACTGTGAGTCTGTGACATGTCCTTTATTAGGGGTTTTCTGTTATACAATCGATGCCAACTTGAAGCGCTCGAAGCTTACTACGGTAAGTGGGACATGTGTATGAACGTGAACTTTGAGGGGATGTCCGTTTTAGGTGCCTTGCGGAACGTCACATGAACCTCATAAATCTAAGATCAGGTCCTCGTTGAAGAATTCGAACGATTCTAGAACGATCGGTTTTCGAAGGCTGGTATACATAGAAAGCATGTTCTTCACGACTCGGATATCGCTTGACCTCCATCATGGCGCTTCCGTCCAACTTCGTTCTGTCTCTGGGGCTTCTTGCGCTTGTTACGCTGGCGCACGCTAATATCATGGTTGAAAGTATCGATGGGACATTCATTCCATGGAGCTTTGTTAGACGAGCGGGTTCCGGTCCCGTTGGAATACGTTTGACGAATGTGAACGATGTTGCTTACGTTGTCAGTTTTGATCAACTTGCACTTTGACTACATTACTGATCACTTTACAGACCCCCGTTTTAATGGGTTAGTTTTGCCGATAGATGCCTTGCTTCCTCTTATTCGAAACTACGAAACAGGCACTCCTCCTCAACAAATTCAAATGGCCACCTCTCTTTCTCAAAATTTCATCTCAGTCGCGTCTCCTCCGACAGGCGTTACCGACCAGTCTTTGTGAGTACGGCTGTTTTACAATCACATATCCAGTTAATGCCTTTATGAGGTAGCTATAACCCGGCAATTTCATCGAGTCACACGGCAGGCGTCGGAACCGCTTCAGTCCAGACCATCTCAGGTGGAACGGTTCAAGGAACTTACGTAGACGAAATATGCACACTTCAGTCTTCGACTTCAGCTTCGTTCTTCAGCTATAACGCATCGGGTACGTTTTACGCCTTTTGACATGCGAACACTTTTGAATTATATTTTAGTCGTTTTGACGAGCAATACGGTAACTAATGACTTGTACCCTCTCGATGCCCGTGGGGTTCTGGGTTATGGCCTCGCGCAGCCGAGTGGTACACCCGCGAGCGCCTCGCTTCTTGGCCAATTCTTGCCGTGCGTTATTTTCCGATGGTGAGGTACTCCCCGAGTTCTGAAGCCCGATAATTAGACAAAACTTTACACACGCCGTCTGTGGCATTGAGTTGAATCATAAAGATGATCCTGTCCCTGATGGTATTTTCACAATGGGGGCAGTGGACCAAACGGCGTAACTATCCATCACCATTCTTCCAGAGTTATTGACCATTTTCTCCTGCGTTCCCCAGATTTTCTGGAAATTTCACCAATGTGGCCGTGCCCGCAAACAGTCCTACTTCGTGGTCCATTCCTTTTGATAATCTCACCTACATTTCAAATGGGGTCAGCCAAACTATGGCCGGTATGCTAGCCAGTGTTGATATGTATCGTGCGTGACGTATTCTTTTTCTCGTCCGATGCAAACCAACGGGCGCCTCCCCAATCACCTGCAGACACCGGAATCCAAATTACGTCGGCCGCCGCCACGCAGCTCTACGCCGGTATTCCAGGTAGTCAACCGATCTCAAGCACCCTTTGGTCGCTTCCGTGTTCGTCCAAGTTCCCCATTACGCTCACATTCGCCGGTACACCCTTTACGATCAACGAACGCGACACGATCATAAAGCAGGCCGACGGAAGTTGCACTGGAGCCGTCACTGGTGGGGCAACGACGATTGGCAAAGTTGGCGCGCCCTTTTTGCGCAATGTTTATACGTCTGTCCAACCTGTGATCTTGCACCTGATGTTGGGCCTTACGATGCGTTATTTAGACAATTTTTCGCCGATGTATCGGCTGCCGGTGCGACCACTGTCGGTGTTGGTTTTGCAACGAAGAACGTCCGGCAGATATCCGTATTTCCAACGACGACAACACCACCGTCGACAAGTTCCGTGTCTCAATTTACAGTCAAACCATCTGCAACTTCTACCGCCGCACCCCCTAAAAGCAGCGCTTCCCGGCTAAACGTCCAAGATCTTGGACGTTGCTTGAAGCTTTCGATAATTTTGGTTTCTGCCATTATCTTGACTTTAAGTTATTGACGACTCTCTGAGATTGATTTACGGATGGACCACCTTTTCTGTGTTATTGGACAAGAAGTAGACCTATGCCACTCTAGGACAAAATTTCTCTGTACTTGTTCATCACACAAGTTCCACTTCTATCTTTGAATTTCAGCGTAAGTAATTAGTGGAGTTTTGCGAATAATATATTCACAATGCAAAACTTACCGAAATGGATGAGCGGTGGGTTCATTCGTTTATACGAGTCGAGAGGGCTACCGTAGGGATTCTTTGTTTGCACTGCCAAGAGTTTTATGGTCCAGTTTCGTACCTCGACACTTGGATACGAAGGAGGAGGATGACGGTATCGAGCACACAGGAAGAAGGGCAGACAAGTGACCATTCCACCAAACTAGAGGTCAAGATGGGAATTGAAGGACTAATTTCGTTGAAAGGCTGCATAACATCAAATCAGCAAGACATGATTGGCGGGGATTGGGCGGGGACATACACTATGCGCATATGCGCCCCTGGGTACGTCCAAATTTTCAATGCGGGGGTCTGAAAGGGTTGAGACCGTCACTGTACGATAAGGGAAATGATGATGACTAGTCGATTGGATCGAAGGTCTCAAAGGTGACCAACAAAATCTAGCCAGAGCCCATGATTACGGGCCTCTCTGATTCCGTAGCTCGACGTGGACGGATGGTCCTAGTCGATTATACCTCTCTCCCCCTCTTTGGTTGTGACCGGCTCCATTTGGAGCTAATCCACCAACCTTTCGTGCAGGTGTGCTGAACAGCCTGCATTTGGTCGTGTTGATAATGGTGACACTATGGGCGGTCATGATGGGACTGACGAGACCGGGAAATAGCGCAGGGGGGTACTAGAAGCTAGAACGCTGAGATTAGCGAGGCGTAGTGGATGATGGAAGATAAAACGGAATAACACTGATCATAAGCAAACGTCATCTTGGAAGGAGGTATTAGTGCCACTAATATCTAAAGGATTGGTCTGAAACTCTCGTCGTCGTTTTGTGTGTCAGAGAGTCACGACGATAGTGGGTCGCGAGTTTCTGGGTCAACCGAGGCACAGCATGAACGTGGGTGTAGCAGCGTTCATCACTTGTTAGTGCTGCTGTGTCGGCGTTGTTGAAGATGAGCTGCATGGATGCGAAGTTAGGCCCCGTGTGAAGAGTTGCATAGGAAGGAGGTTCTATAGGGAAGATAAGGTGTATGCAAGAAGGCACAATCGTCACATGGAAACACGCCATTTTGATTCAAGAGACGCATTCGTTGCGGTGCGCTGGGAAGAGTCGGCAGCCAGAAGAGGCAAAAAATTAAAATTAGCAACTCATAACAACGGGAAATCAACAACTCAAAACAATGTGTGACACATCAACGTCACCGCGTCACCGTTCAAACGTTCACCGGTGTACCTCCCAATACTATGACCTACCAGCACCTCGGCGCACCCTACGAGTCGGCAGTCACTGATTGTCACATATTTTGGCTTGACAAGCGTGACTCTCGTTTTCCAAGTTGTCACGCAACATCACACTTGTCCAGCCAAAATTCGTGACGATCAGTGACCGCCGACTTGTAGGGTGCGCCGAGGTGCTGGTAGGGCATAGTATGCCACTTTAAATCTTCAAATTTTATGTCAGCGGTCTCAAGGGAGACTTCTAGAATGGAAGTGGCAAGCCTCGCCATCTTCCTTGAATACCAGCTATTGGCCTGAAATTGTTACTGAATCCTAGAACTGCAACACCTGGGTGAGTTACTATTTCGAAACTTTTCCCCCCTACTTCATCACCCGCCCACGACAGGGAAAGGAATTTTGGGACAGAACAACAAGAATTCAGATTTGCAGGCAACAAAGCGGGAACGACGGGCGTCTGCGAAAAGGTCAGATGAGGGAGAGTCGTACGATTCATGTGGTGTGTGATGATGATTTTTCGCGAGGCCCTGAATATTTGACAGCTGATATCGTACTGGCGTCTTTTTAAGAGTTCTTGAAACTGGCTACTCCGCATTAACGCCGCCAAGTAGACTCATATGCGGGATTTATTTAGCTACGCGGCCATTGACCGACGCAAGACCGAGTCCAGCGTCGAGAGGTGAAGGAGGAGACCTAATCCCGTGGCAATGGAGGACAAGCCTGAAGGATTTTCAGGCGCGGACGATTGGGTGAGATCGAATCTTGGGGTCGACCATGAAGCGACAATGAGTATCTTAACGTGGGGATTCCAAGCTAGGTATAATCCCCTTTCAGCTGATTTCCGGACCGTGCCCTCAAGAATCGATTCAATCACCCTAGGAATTCCTCTAGCGTTTGTTTACACGCGGACACATTCACGCTGCTCAAATGCATATCTCTTGTTTTCGCTCCCGATTGTAGGCTTTGATTGTCACTCTCTTTATCATTGATTGACGGCGCCAACGTTTGAAGTTGAGGTCAACTGTATGCCGGCGTTGGGTTGGTTCATCCAAGTTGCCCAGCCTGTTTCGGAGAAGTCCCTTCAGACGGATTTCTCTGCTCTCCGCAATGTTTCCCTTTACCAATCTAATTCCCCTGCTTCCGCTCCCTTGATAACATCCCTTACCCCCATAGTCGCCATCAATTGACCCGTCCCGAGATCACAACTTTCTGATTTTCTGAAGATCCACCTAGGGGCCTGAACAGCGCCCATTTCCAGAGATGGCGCTCACTGACGGATTTCGAGGCTTTTCAAACGCTATACCCTTCAACCACCTCGACATATCTTGTGCATCCCTGACAGTGATTTCTTCAATAGTCATTATCCTTCCTTGCTGCGCACTCATTGGTGCCTCATACGACGGTTTTCAGCGGTTATTCTGGCACCTTTCACTCTACAACACACTTATCTCTGGTTGAGGCCAGGGGTGGATCGTGATGTATATGTGAGTTTCATGGGAATTCACAACCGTGACATATCTATCCCATGATCCTTGCGCCACCTCAACAACAGGCAAGTACCTCCATAAACGTGGACGCATTTGGAAGAACTGAGCCGGTACAAAAATACTAGTCTTCAAATCTTGAGAAACAGATGCGTATTCAGACAAGTTGTGTAAAAAATGGTCTTCCTAGCCACGGCAACCCCACTCAACTGCCGAACATGTCCCAAAACTTCAAAGAACAGGGAAATTTATCAGTCTACAACTTCTACAACAACATCCCTATCAAGTGATCTTCCGAAAATTCATCACTATTAAATACGTAACTGACGAGAACGTTCTACTTACAGCCTCCCCGCCAAATGCATATCTCCGATATGTTGTACGTAGTTTGCTGATTACCCCGTAAGTTGCTAATAGTTGGATAGGGCTGCTTCACAGTCTCCAATCATAAAGACGACTCGCAAATGAAGCGACCATCCCCCCGTATGGCCTAACACTGCGATATTGACATGCAAGTCGAAGCGCCACCTACTGAGTCTTTGCTCGCTCCTTCATATTGCGATGGATGTCTTTACCCCCTGACACTTTGCCCTCGTCACCCCTCCGAACTCTTTCCGAACGGAGACCCCGATCCCTACCAGTTCTACAACGAAGTGATCCACGGAATCAGTTCCGCCCATACGCCGGATACTTTTCGGCAAATCACAGAGCTCATAGACGGAGAACCCGGGCGTGCCTCGCTCTACAACGAAGTGATCGGCGGGGGCGACTCATCACTCGTTGCACCTTCCAACAAACGCAGGAAAACTGATCGAGGCCGATTCTGTTGTACTTTATGCACAGCGAGTTACACCGCAAAGCACAACCTCATGTGTTCGTCGCATAGCGCACTCTCTATGATTGCGACCACTGATCCATTCACCAGTCCATATCAATTCCAGACACCATGGAAGCAAAGATCACCATTGCCCAGTGCCAAAGGGCTGCGGATCTAGCTTCACGACGCCATCCTCTCTGGTTCGCCATCGTAAAACGTGTAAAAAGCGATGATGTAGCAGGATTGATCCTGGAACTCTGTGAGTGAGAGTTTTCCAACTCGATCGCATGGACTTATGACCGCTTCTCCAGAGTTCGTGCATTCTTCAGATCTGCTATCTACCGTAGATTTTCCATATTTAGTGTTCAGGTCGATTTACTTGGGATTTGTCCCCGGAGGATTTTACGGGGAAGCACAACCTCCAGAGTATGTCGCCTAGCGCACTCTCCGTTTTGCGACCACTGATTCATTCATTAGACCATATAAACTCGCATCTCGGAAGGAAAAACCACCAATGCGTGCCAGAGGGCTGCGGATCTAACTTTGCGACGCAATCCTCTGTGGTTCGCCATCGTAAAACGTGGAAAAAACGATGATGTAGGAGGATTGATCCTGGTACTCTGTGAGTGAGTTTTCCAACTTGATCGCGTAAACATATGAACCGCTTCTCCAGAGTTCGCGCATTCTTCAGATCGACTATATACCGTAGATTTTCCATGCATCAAGCTCTTTGGTTGTGGCTAACTATTCTGCATAGGCTTCACGAAATTGCCAGGAAGTTGGCAATCTCAGGCTCTGGCGGCTACCCGAGAGCGGACGAGGATCAGGATTAGCCGGATACCAACGGCGAGGGCAGTTCGAGGAGAGCGATTACCTGGTAGGGAAAGGTGTATCGTGCATACTATCACTTACGCGGCGTCCTGGAGTGCTGGCCGCTCGTAATCAGGTGATTTCACTCAAAGACTGTTGGCTTATTCACAGGTAACATCCCTACCTGGGCCTTCTATTCAGAATGCCTCGGCTAAGGGTGACGACAACTCCGAATCGAAATTTCTACAAAGAGGGGCTTGAGCTTCGGAGTGATCGGCGGAGGACGGTTTTTAGCTGGGGATGACGATCAGCTCATTGCACATTGGAAACAAGGCACCTATTCTCTTTTCAATCCTGTTGTACACTCATGGACCTTCTGAACAGAACTCCAACGATCACCAAATTGCCCTATGGGCATTCAAATCTTTCCCTCCTACTTTTCCACGCACAACTTGGGCGCTTGTTTGATCCGGTCAATGCCGAAACGGGTGTTGACTCTGACGCTAGATCTCAATTCGTATTTCCCGCAGATTTAACGGACTCGCTCAACCTTCTGGCACCTCACCTCCGTCCTTCTTGGAGTCAGTCTGCAAAACTACACATGCTGGACTGTGCTGAATGAATGAGACATATGTTACGAGACCGAGGTACGACGATTCGTTTCTTATATTGTCGTTTTTTTCGTTCACTTTACGTGACAGTCGGAGTCGGAGGTTTTTCTGGTGTTTGTGCTCTCTGCTCCTTTTTCAAGTCTGTTCAATGGGTGCTTGTTGCCATATTCACTTCTCCCGCCACTCTGACACCATTCGAAAACAGTTCTCGAACAAGACCCCTCACTATTTTCCTTCGCGAACTCACACTTGCCGCGCACAGCGGTGGCCCACACCAACGAGTATGAGCATTACTGTTTATCCCGCGGAAGTAGGAGCTGATTAGCAGGGCCGCAAACTATTTCTGATTGAGGGCCCTGGTTTGATATCTCATGCCACCGCCAATCACTACGTTCGGTAATAGTCAAGATTTTCTTGGTGGCTCAAAGCTGCATCAGATAAGATGTATGCGAAGGCGACTTACTGGGATGCCTCTCCCCACAGTCACTCATGAGAGACCCAGATCCGTCTCTTTGTCATATTACGGTGGTGTGTATCCTAGCAGTTTTTTCCGATCCCGGCCCAAATAATGAAGTCAACAGGCCGTGCCTCCATATTCCGTATACCTGAAATATGGAGGCGCCTCTGACAAAGGTAGAAAATGACTCGCTCGGGCGATATCTCATTACGAGCACTCCAAGGTTGACAGAGGCGTTAGCTTGCCCTGCTGCTCATTCAGCCTTGGTGCTCATTCCTATCCCTTCTCACCACAGGTCTCTACTACTACGGCGAGCTCACGGTCTCAGAGGTTGTGTCAGGGAAATCATCCTTTAATCTCTGATTGCGTTGCACGCCGTATGTTCAGATTGGCCTGCGTCTTCATCACGACGTGAACTACTCTCTACCCGCCGCCATCATCTGAAAGCTCTAATCTGCTAGACTCGATACTTCAGCATGGTTCAGAGCGTACACCTACACCACGAGGGGCCTACGTACTAACAACCAAACCATCCGTTGATGAAGGGGATATTCTTGACTCGCGCCGGCCGTAGTCTGTTGGCCATAACGCCTCCTCGCTCTGTAGCTCGAAAAGCATTGACTGTTTTAGTCGATGGTGGAACCTCACACGTCAGCACCTCACACGTCAGTACCTCACACGTCAGCACCTTACCCCTCAGCACCTCATTCCTCGCCACCTCATCCCTCACCACCTTACCCCTCACCACCTCATTTCTCACCACCTCATCCCTCATCACCTCACCCCTCACCCCCTTACCACCACATCCCACCTCATTCCTCACCTCATCCATCCCTCACCACCTCATCCATCCCTCACCACCTCATCCCTGAGCACTCATTCATCACCACCTGCTTCCACAGCTACGTCAGAGGTGCGCATCCAGGAACTACGCCTGATTTGAAGCGCCTTGACCGTAGTCACACATTCCGATGGTGGTCTTTTGAGGACGAATTACATTGAACCATAAAAGGGGACAGCTCAGGACCTCTTTTACCATCCGATGAGGGCTTGTTGGATGTGTTTACGATTTGCTACGTAGTTGGTGGAACCCCCTCGGGTTATAGCGCGCTCAATTAAGGGTACATAAGTATTGTAAAATCTGTACCAGTTTGATCAACCAAAAAGGGAATGATAGAAAGAATGTATTTCGCCTTCTTTCAGGTCAACGCTCCAAGTAAAAATAAAACGCAAATTACTTGAAAAGGTACTCAGCAAATACTTAGAAGCCTCACCCCTGGCAAGTTCTATTGCCTCAAATCCGCTATTCTTGGACAAAGATTGGTCAATTTTTGGGACCTCAAATCCGCTATTTTTGGACAAGAAATGGCCTGAGCTTCCCGGGGCCTCGCCACCTACGAAGTAAATAGTAAGTAGTCGATTGCAAGTCGATTGCTGCCGAGCGGCGCCGCAACCATTAGCTATCAGAGTTTGATCAGAGTACATAACGCTTGCGCTATTAATGATTAATTTCAGGCGCCAACGCCTACTTGTCAAATGTAGGATACTTACTCGTGGAAAGGCCAGAAAATCTCGGAAATTCCAATATCGAAGTTGGACAGCGAACTTCAGATTACATCAGCAACAAAGATCCAACCAAACAGAGGCCTCAGCAACGCTCTTCGAAGGTGTGTTCATTTGGATGGCTACATGAGTCGAAATGTAGGAAGGTAAGTCTTTCGTAAAGCTGGTGCTGTCACGTTACTCATGTAATATGTTTACTGAAATATCTAGTTGTCCGTTCTCCAATATCGAGTCAGCCAAGAGTCAGCCGCTCCTCCGTTCCGAGTCGTTCCTCTGCTCAATTGCACTCAAATACGCCAATCTCAGGTTCAAGCATACACCGCATTCACAGCGCACGTTGACAAACGCCTACTCTTTGCGCTCCGCACATGCTCGTGATACCTACCTTGGGAGCGCGCTCGAATGATGAGCCGTTGACACCCTGACGTGGTAAAAGTTGGGTAAGAGCTGCAAAGGTTGAAAAGGGCGATACGTGAGAGTCCGTGCTTAAGGTTCGTTCTACCGTTATTCCTGCTTCCCTTGCCATACGATGTTTACAACACCACCTCCGTTCTACCCCGTGTCGAGATCAACTTGACTTTCTTCACACCTTTCGCTTCATACCTGCCCTCTCTAACCCTCAGATGCCAACAGGAACCACATGGCGCGAATCATCGCTTATCTCTGGCACGAACAGGACGTCAAACGGAGGGAGCACTAATGCACATCCGCAGGTCAACTCTGACCCAAGTGCAGGCCCGACTTTAAGCCGGGTGGTGCGAGGGGGTCGAAGGTTCAAGAGGCGATTTGGGTACCCGAAACGACCGCGACAATGTACCGCATCGTAGGATGATATTGTGTTCTACAAATGGGTGAGAGCATCAGCGTTTCCTTAAGTCTTTTGACGAGGCCTCTTTGCTTATCGTTACTTACCAACGAACCCAGCTCGATAAAACTCGTTCAGCTACGTCCACCATCCGAGATGTGACCGCACCCAGGGCCACGCCCTTTATATTCCGACGATGTCATCGAGGTATGACGAGTGGCGCTAGTTGCCGAGTCTATAACCGTTCGCCTCATTCTCCAAACTCCAATGTGGACACAGAATTCCCGTGCTGCCGGAGGAGAAGACGATTTGCCCTGCGGTGAATGAACACGTCAATCACGTCGCCGTGCACGTTGAGGAGAGAAGTGTCGACCCACCCTCCGTATTTTGACCTCCCAATCGCGACACTCGGGTAAACAGCGGAAGCGTTTCAAATGGAGAGGGGAATTCAGTTCCTGAATTGTAACTTCAAAAAAAGGAGGCTAGCGCCGGTTTGGTTGTGCGCGCAAGACTCTGTTGGACTTTTGACTGGAACCTCTTTGGGTTGAGTACGTCGTTTTCTCAAATTTCTTGCGTCTTTTTGATCTTTCTATTTAGAAGTACGACTTTCGATTAAGCCTTTGGATAGGATAGCAGCGTTGAAGGCAGAAATGTATGCGGTATGGTGTTTCCGTGTGCCAGTTGACTTTCTTGATTGACCTTGCGTTCAGACCACCGGTGTGTAAAAAGTTGTACGGAAAGGAAGTACCAGGGGGTGTATGCTAGAAGGCACGAACGACCACGAACACGCGCCATCGTAATAGGGGACGTGCATTCGACGCAGTGCGCTGTTGGTGGACCGTGGTGGGAAGAGTCCCCAGCATGGAGGCGAAAATCAACAACTCAAACTAGTAATGAACTTGGTATTCCGACACAAAGATCAACCAAGACTCAGAACTTAGTCGCAAACCCCAGCCATTGTTCACCGCGACCACAACCTGTTCACGCCAGGCAAAGGGATTGGGAAATAACAATAAGAATCCACATGTGCATTGGCTGGCAACAACGCGGGAACGACGGGAGTCCGCGAAGAGGTCAGATGAGGGAGGGCAAGTCGTACCACTTATGTGGCCTGGTGAAGTTGCTGAATGGGGTCTGACAGCTGACATACGGGCGTCCTTTTCATGATTCTTGAAACTGCCGGCTACCCTGGTTTAGCGCCGCCAAGTGGACTGCGATGCATTTTACTCGGCTACACAGCTATTCACTCACGGGAGAACGAGTCCAGGTTGGTAGTTGATTGAGGGAGGAGACTTGACCTGGTGGCAATGGAGGAGGAGGACGGTTTCTCTAGTGAGGACAAACCGTGGATGATGTCAAACATACTATAGGCGATTTATGGGGTTATCAAGGCGAGAATGAACGTGGGGATTCGAAGCTAGGCACCTAATTCCTTCTTACTATATTGAACGCTTCTTGATCTCCGAAACTTGGCCTTGCAGCGATCAATTTAATCACTCCAGGAAGGTTAGGAGGAATCTACGCTGCATGAATGCATCTCTTTTTTTGATCTTTTGGCACGTTTGCTTGCATAATTTGACTGGGCGCTCCTACTGTAAGCCTTGAAATTCGATTCTCAATCTCTCTATAATTGATTCACGGCGCCCACATTTCGTTTTGGGCTTCATCCAAGTTGCACCAGTCTACTTTGAAGAAGAACAACGAGACAAAGCACGCTCAGACGAATCGACTAGTTCTCCGTGGTAGGTCACCGTCCTTTACCTATCTAGTTCTCCTTCTTTCGTCCTCTTCATGCACTTCTGTTATCATGCTCATCTGCCGATCGGTCTCGGTGATCTATTCTCCCGTCACGCCATTAATTTACAAACTCACGCTCACTGAAGCTGTCAAGCGCCCAACAGCGTTAGAGGCCCCTTGCGTTGGATCCATATACCTTGATAGTTACTTCACGGGAAGGGTCATCGGCCCCACTTTGGAACAAGTGAGTACCACTACATCTCCTGCTTCCCCCTTGTATTCATGACTCCGAAGCTCTTCGAGCACTGTGCCCCTTCAAACACCTCGACATATCTCGTACATCCCTTGAAGTGACCTTTTCACTCTCACACGAGCCCTCCACGTTTTCTACAACACACCTATCTCTTATTAGGACCAGGGGTGGGATCGTGGTGATTATGCGATTTTCCCCTCACAACCGCAATATATCCATCCCGCGATCCTTGTACCACCTCAACAGGTAAATACCTCCATAAAGATGGACACAGTTACTGAACTGCCGAATATGCACAAGGACTTTAATGGGGGGACGGGGAACTCGTCACTCTACAACCTCTACAACTCCGTCCCTATCGAGTGAGGTTTCTATGATTTAGATCTGAATCACTTCTAATTCGATACGTAACAGACGTTGAGCCCTCAACCTAAAAGCTTGCCATGTGACTATCTGTCGTGATCTTCTTTCGCTGCCCATTACTACTCCTGGTCTCTGGAAGGACGGCAACTTATTTTTGAACGGGAGTAAGCCTGTTTGCCCATAGATGGCTAGAAAATTGGTAGAAACACATTTTTTTGCAGGGCTGTTTCGCCATCTCCAGTTATAAGAGAGGACCACAAGAGGGACGCAATACTAACATAGAAGCACCAACTACAATGTTTCCGCCCGCTCCTTGTGAATTGTGCCTCAACCCTCTGTTACTCTGCCCCTTTCACCCTTTCGAACCCGGTCCATACGACGATGAACCCGATACCTCCCCGTTCTATAGCGATATGATCGACGTGACGTTAGAAACCTTTCGACACAGCGTAGCATCAGCAAAGCAGCTTGCAGCTTCCAACAGTCGCAGGAAAACAGATTCAGGACGATTTCGTTGTACTTTGTGCTCGCAAAGTGTCACTGCAAAGCACAACTTGCAGAGTACGTCGCGTAGTGCACTCTTCGTTTGCGCACCCACTGATTCATTCATTAGGCCATCATAATTCTCACTATCGAAGGAAAGAACACCATTGTGCTCCAGAGGGCTGCGGATCGAGCTTTACGACGAAATCATCTCTGAAACGCCATCGTCGAATGTGTAACAAAGCAAAGGTGTAGGAGGATTGACCCTGGAGGTCTGTAAGTGACTTTTCCGACTCGCTCGTATACAATTGTGAACCGCTTCTCCAGAATTCCGCGCATTCATTTCCTATCTAGATTTTACCTGCGTCATAAAGTTCTTTAGATGTAGAATTTGAAGAACGCGTATCAACTAAAAACGCCTAGGAGACCTGGGGTCAACCTGGGGTGAACACTAAGAAGTAAAATTAGACAATTTCTGCACAAGCACAGCTGTATCATTGACCCGGCAGGCGTGGCAGCCACGATCCTTGCGCATGTTGCTCATGTGTCACCACTAATTAGTGTGTTTCTCCGTTAATTCTGGCACGGTAACCGCTCCGACTTACGTATCTGGGAGCACTGGTTCCGTCGAGATTCCATTAGTACTCCATTCAAAATTGATCTGGTGACTCGATGACGTCGCTGTTGTGCAAAGTTCACCGACATCCCGTTCGCCGACATTCAAAGGGCTGGACGGTGACGTGGCTAGATGGCCCTTGCATATTCTCGCGGGAATGTGAGGTTTGATTGAGTTTTGAGCTGTAATACCCGAAATACTGGACGAAGATACCCACGTTGGCGACAACTTCAAACAAGTATAAGGGAGATTGTTTGCTTACCGATACAGGAACGATCTTTACAGTGCTTTTTATGTACTATGTAAGTAGTAAGGTTTGTGTGTGCGAACAACACTCATTTCGAGTCTACAAGCTTCAGCGCTTCAACAATCTGCAGTTAAATTTCTGGTCCAACTGTTTATAGTTACTGACTTGGCCTCAGCCTATGACCACCGGGAATTCTCAGTTCCACTCCTCTCGTGTAAATGTCAAGGGTCCGATAGTTGTCCGATAGGTGACTTCAACTTGAAAATAGTAGGCTTTGTCATTGATCGTGTGTACCCACCTCTGCTTGGCTAACTATTCCGCGTAGGCTTCATGAAATTGCTATTTTGTTGGCAATCTGAGGCTCTGGTGCATTTATCCAACATGGCAATAATCATCCTCAGAGTCGAAATCACTATCATCATCCCCCTCAGAGTCGGAGTCACTATCCAACATGGCAACAGCAACCTCTTCCCACGCAATCAAATCAACCATCTCCTCATCCGCCTGTCCCTCATCCTCCGCAGGGGAATGGTTGTTCCCATTCCTCAACACGCGCCTAGGCCTTCCCGTCCCCCCCTCCTCCACCTCCGTCTCCCCACCCGCTTCACGCGAAACGCCAAGGTGGTGGTGGTGTTGATGTTGATGGTGGTTCATACCATCCTCCGTTCCCGAGTCGTCGTCTCCCCCATGACCATGCTCGTCCGAACCCACAGGCAAATCGACGTCAGTCTCCATATCGGCCTCATGTTCCACCTCCACGTCCTCTTCCAAATCCACGAATGTCCTGCATAGGGGACAGGAAAAGCCGGGGTGGTATAATTCGAGGAGGGGCCAGATGCATATGAAGTGGAAGATGTGCGAGCAGGGGGCGACGAAGAGTGCTTGGCAGGTGGTTACTCCGGACAAACCTAGATGAGGGGTTTGAGTGTGTAGATGATAGAGAAAAAAAAGTCGGACGCACAGATACAACAGTTGGGAATTTGTGACTTTGGTCCAAGCTTCACTCCACCCGTCGATTTGCTCGGAATGACAGAGGGCGCAGCGAGCGTCTTGAGAATCTCCAGTGCACTCATGCTATTTTTCATTATAAGCACCACACCACACAAAAAGACAGACAAACTCACTTGAAAGCATCAGACTCTCGTCCAAGTTCAACCCTAACCTTCACGCTTTTATAGATATCGTCCACATCCCCCTGAAAATAATCCACACCAAGCTGCAAATATCCCCATCCTTGATCTGGAAAGGCCTCGACTCGGTATTCGCATGGCTCAATCGGACATTATTCAAAAATGTCCCAATGCGGCTTTTCGTATCTTTGACGTAAATCTTGGCCCCAGGCTCTACCCAAATATCTGCATGCACGGGCGAGACAATCCTCGATCTGAACGCGAGCTTGTTCGAGCCTAGCGCCTTGACACCTGCGAGGTCTATCCCGGAAGGGTCGATGAACCGCCCGATGCGGAGGGGTAGGTCGCCTTCTTTCATGTGCCGACGAAGAGGGTCGAACCAGAAGAAACAATCTGAATCCAAGTGAGGGACTAGACGGGTGTGTCGAGTAGCGCCGCCACCCGCGGATGTTGGTATTTGTGGATGTGGGCTCGGTGGTGGTACAGCGGGAGGCTGGACCGTAAGGGCAGCATCCGTACGGTTAAATTCGATGTTGATCCCCACTGGCGATGGTTGAATGGAGGCAGTAGGGGTGGAAGCAGGAATGATGGTTCCCGTTGTCCTCCGTCTCCTGAGCGTATTGCTCAGGCCCAGCCCAGGCGACAAAGACGCTTCTGCCATTGTCGGAGCCTGATGAGACGCCGACTGCTGCATAGGCGCCACACACGTTCTCCCAGCGTTTGCGTTTGGGGAAGGTGGTTGTGGTGGTGGGGAGAGCTCTCGAAGGGGATGGTCAGCATTAAGGTGAATATGCGATTGAGATGAGTTCCTCGGTCGCCCGCATAACAGCGAGCCTAAAATTGTGGTTTCTGAAGGCGGCGATTCGCTGCTTACGTGGGGAATAGGATCCATTTGTTGATCGTTGCCAATGGTCAATGGTACACTCGGTACACGTCGGTGAGTGTATAACTCAACAGCTTCTTGAGAGTAGTAGCCGCAGGGATGGATGGGCAATACTGAGAAAAGATCGTTGTCCGAGCCGTCTGTGCACAAGTATCCGAATTGAGCACTCTCCTCAATCGTGGCGCACCGATCACTCACAGTTTGCACGCTGATAAGGACTCTGAACTTGCTGAAGGTCGCCGGCGCCGTCAGTGGTGGTGGTGATAGAGGTAGAAGGGTTGGTTGATTTCAGACGGAATTTGAAGCTTCCAGGTTGCGCCCACATGCGCCACATCGATATTGTCTTGGTGTGCATAGGGAGCGTTGGCGTTGGACATTGTGGATGTCACTGTGGACCATGTCGTAGCCAAAGTCGATGTCTTGTTGCTTTGTTCAAATTGTTGACTCGGATACGCGTTACGAGAAAAAAACAAGGTGTTGTTACGAAATGTAGCAGAACCAAACAAAGCTTCTCCCTCAATGGTCAACCCCATTCTAATCATAACAAAGTCAGTGCACTTGGCGTTACACGCAAAGTCAACCACTATGAAGGTAAAGTGAGCAATCGACTCTGCACGTCAAGTCAACGAAAATTAACTTTTGAATAAAGATTGTGAGGAACCGTCTTCACTTGAACGGCATCCAAACGGCATTGGCAAGTTTCTCGCCTTCTTTAATGTGCAACAAACCGTTGTAGCCACTTTAGGCAGCCTTGAATGTGATCAGGGAATACAAGACTACGTCTAAATGCAGGTAATAAGTGATTCGTGGTCAGATTAGGCGCAGTGCACTAACAAACCTTTTTATTTTAAAGTTATCATTGACCAATGACGTATCCACTATGGCTGGAGTCTGTGCGTGACTTCGACGGCAGCACAGCGTTTGCCGGACATCCATACATCGTTTCGAGACTGTGGGTGCAGGGCGGGCGTGTCGACATCTTGAGAAGAGGATGAGGAAGGTGATGAAGATGAGATCTTGAAACATTCCAGAGGTCGCAAGGGCATTTGGCGGACGTCGATATATCGTGTCGGGCCCTACGGGAGACTTTGAAGAGGGAAGAACATGCTAAACAAAGGTTTAATACATTATCAGTCGATCGGAAATAAGACTGACACACCCTCTGGGTAGATCGTGACTGGTAACCTCTAAACGATGTGAGTCGACGTATGAATGCAAGCAAAAAAGTAAAAATGAAATACCTGTGTCTAGTAGACATACAATTTGTTGGTCGTTGTGGCCTGATGAAGATGTTTCGCGGGACGCTGAATGTTTGACAGCTGTCATATTGGCGTTTTTTTCATGATTGTAAACTGCCGACTACCCCGCCTTAGCGCCGTCAAGTGGATTCGTATGCGGGATTTTATTCAGCTACATAGCTGTTCACTTACGCGAGAAGGAGCCCAGCGTGGAGATTGGGAGTCGAGTGAGGCTGGTTGGTGGCAATGGAGGACGAGGGCACATTTCCAGTGAGGACAAACCTGGGTGATGTCGAACATATGGGCGAGATCGAATCTTGGGGTTATGAAGGCGACAATAAGGATTTTGACGTGGGGATTTGAAGCAAGGTGCCTAATTCATTTTCAGTAAATTGAACACTTCTTGAATTCCGGAACTTGACCAGCTGACCTCTCATCGATCAATTGAATTACCCCAAAGACTCTTCTGACATCTTTTCGAAGCGGACGCATCCACGCTGCATAAATGCATCTCTTTTTTTGCTCTTTGGCTTGGATAATCTGACTGGGCGCCCTTACTGTAAAGTTTAATCCTCAATGTCTTTATCATTGAAAAACGGCTCCAACATACCATTTGGGGTAAGTGTACTTGGGTTTCATTCATCAAAAGGTGCGCCAGTCTCTTTTGAAGAAGACTATCTCTCCGTGGTAAGGCCCCGTCCTTTACCTGTCTAGTCCTCCTTCTTTCATTCTCTTGATGCACATCTGCCGTCGTACTCGCCATCTGTCAATCGGTCTCAGGGATCGCTACTTATCAACTACTTATTGATTCTCAGCAACGCCCACAGAAATCACTTAGCGGCGCGAGCGCCCGTCGACTCTGTTCAAAGTTCAAATTTTCCGACCCTGTTACTAATGAGCCAATACCACGAAAGACAATGTACCAGCAAACAATCCACTGTCTTCTACTCAAGTACTACTACAAGTCGCCTGCTCGTCGCCAAAGCGGTTCGCTCGACGCAACGTTCTAGACTCGGAACTACCCGGTCCCGAAGTTTGTGGGAAACCATCACACGAAGTTTATCGTTTCGACAGGACCCTCTCTGCTCCAGAGTGATGACGCTCACTGAAGCTGCCAAACGCCCAATAGCGTTAGAAGCCCCTTGCGTTGGATCCACATACCTTGATAGTTACTTCACAAAGAACTGGTCATCTGCCTCACAACACGTGATCACCACTATATCTCATACAGTCATACTTCCCCCTTGTATTCATGATTCCGAAGCTCTTTCAAACACTATGCCCCGTCAAACACCTCGATGTATCTCGGACATCTCTTAGAGCTATCTTTTTACTTGTAACTGCCTTCCTTTGCAGCTTATTGGTCCCTCGCACGAGCCCTCCACGTTCACTCCTATCTCTGGTGAGAATCAGGGGTGGGACCGTGGTGATTATGCGTCTTTCCCCTCCCGTGATATATCCATCCCGCGATACTTGCACCACCTTAACAGGTAAACACCTCCATTAGACATGGACACAGTTACTCAACTGCCGAATATGTGCATACACAAGGACCCAATGGGGAACGTGGAACTTCTACAACCTCTACAACTCCGTCCCTATCGAATGAGGTTCCTAGTGTTTAGATCTGAATCAGTTCTGATTAGATACGTAACTGACTTTGAACCTTTAACCTACAAGGTTGCCAAGCGCCTGCCTGTCATGGCCGTAATTTGCTACTCCTGGGCCCTGGATTTGAATGGGAGTAAGTTTGCCGATAGATGGCTAGAAACCTGCGAGAAACATGATTTTTGCAGGGCTGTTTCGCCATTTCAACTTATAAAAGAGGGCCACAAGCGGAACGAAATACTAACATGGAAGCATCAGCTACAGTGTTTCCGCCCGCTCCCTGTGAATTGTGTCTCGACCCCCTGATACTTTGCCTGTTTCACCCTCTCGAACCCGCTCCATACGACGGAGGACCCGATACCTCCTCGTTATACAGCGACGTGATCGACGTGACGTTGGAGACCTTTCGACAAAGCGTAGCATCAGCAAAGCAGCTTGCAGCTTCCAACAGTCGCAGAAAAACAGATTCAGGACGTTTTCGTTGTACTCTGTGCTCGCAAAGTCTCACTGCAAAGCACAACCTGCGGAGTACGTCGCGTAGTGCACTCTCCATTTTAGCATCCACTGATTCATTCATTAGACCATCTTAATTCTCACTATCGAAGGAAAGACTACCATTGCGTTCCAGATGGCTGCGGATCTAGCTTTACGACGAACTCTTCCTTGAAGCGCCATCGTCGAGTGTGTAAAAATGCAAAGGTGTAGCAGGATTGATCCCAGAGGTCAGTAAGTGACTTTTCCGACTCGCTCGTATACAGTTGTGAACCGCTTCTCCGGAATTCGTGCAGTCTTCAAATCTGCTATCTAATTTTTACCTGCATAAAGTTCTTTAGATGTAGAATTTGAAAAATGTATATCAACCGAAAAGACCTATGAGACTTGGGCTTGGGGACTGGAACTCTAGGAAGTAAAATTAGACAATTTCACATACTAGTACAACCGCACGGGCACAGCATATCATCAACCCGGCACTGGGCGTGGCAGCCACGCTTGTTGCGCATCCGGTAACCGCTCCGACTTACATATCTGAAAACACTGATTCCGTCGAGAAGGTTTGTACTCCATTCAGAATTGATCTGGTGCCTCGACGTTGCTGTTGTGCAAAGTTCACCGACATTCAGTTCCGAAGGTCATTCACCTACGTCAACCGCCTTACACGTACGTCAAGTACATGACCAATTATCCAGAAGTGGAATTCACAACGGCAACATTCAAAGGGCTGGATGATGACGTGGCTGGATAGATGCGGATGTGTCAATGACGAGGAGCTGGAAGTGACATCGGGCAACGCGGAGATCTGAGATAAAGGTAGGAGGGATGACCTACCCCACTTTGAGAGACCTGGCATGGATATGTCAGCTGAAGTTTTGGTATGCAAGAAATAAAAATAATCAGGATTTGAGTTGTAATGCCTGAAAAACAATACTCACATTATTGGCAACAAGTATGAGGGGCGAGCTTGGGCGGGATAGGGCGCAGACAAGGGGATTGTGAGCTGGTTATCGGAAACAGAGCGAGCTGGTTATCGGAAAAACTTGTTTGTGTGTATGTAGTTATGTTTCTGCAACGACGAAAAATGACAACTCAAAACAACGCTCTTTAACCGTGCGCGTGACATCCTGTCTCGATTGGGTAAATCTCTGTTCCAACTGTCTATTGTTACTCTCTTAGCCTCATCCTATAATCGTCGTGAATGCTCAGTTCCACTTTTCTCTTGTAAATGTCAAGGGTCCGGTAGTTGTCCGATAATGGTGGGCTCCGTCATTGATCGTGTATACACCTCTGCGCGGCTAACTATTCCGCGCAGGCCTCACTAAGTTGCTCCTAATCGTGGGAGGGTTCAAAGGTTTGAAATCTTAAGTAAAGGCATAAATAGGTGTATGCAGAGTCCCCCAGGCGCTGTGCGCCTGGAGAAACTCGCAAGAAAAATGTCCATTGATGGTAGCGTTGTCCTATAATACCTATAATATGTAGAAAAGGGGAAGAGGAGGGAGGGGAATTGTCTGTTTGTGGAAATAAGAAAATGTCTGTGGGGAAAGAAAAGAAAATGTCTGTGGGGAAAAGAAAAGTTGAGTGGAGTAGAACGGAAGGATGTTGTGAGATACCAGAAAATGGGAAAGGAAGTTAATGTCCAGTAGCTTGTTGGTGAGCAGGATGACCAAACAGCATTGCATGTAGAAGAATGGGATTCTTCCGTATGTATATATGGAAGGTGTTTGATGCCCAACGCCCAGTGGCTTGAATGATGTGAGGTGGTACACCAGCTTCGGCGAGGGAAGTGGCTCCGCCGGCTCGCATGGATTGGCCTGCGATATCTGATGGGAAGAAGCGGCGCAATTTGCATATGAACCAGGAACATGTTGGCACAGTGCCAGACGTACGTAACCAAAGTTCTGGTTTGAAGGGGTGGAGTGTATCGCGAGAGGAGATGTAAGTTGTGAAGACGTTGTGAGGGTTTGTGGGAAGATTTGTCTTCTGAATAATGACAATGTTACCTTCAAAGAAGCGGTCGGCCTTATGGCCAGGCAGCAACAATGAGTAGGTGGTTTGAGTAATGTCAACAGTGTGACGTAGCATGATTTTACGATAGTCACGAGAGGCCACTCTGTCAGGAAAAGTGAGCTCGCCCAGGCGGAAAAGCCCATGGAAACCTGTGAATAGAATAGCGAGAAACTATTTTTCGTCGTGGTGGGGAGTTGATTGCAGTTGAGACAGAACAGTGATAAGGTCATCTGTTGATAAGGGTCGCTTGCGCCGTATTGTTGTCCCAAAACGTCGACGACAGCCAGCCAAAGTGCGTGATACGAGGATGCTGTTGCGATTTTTTCGGATGTCAGGGAAATATACTTCTAGCTGATTGCAAATTCCTGAGAGATACGAGTTGACAGAGTCGGGTTTGATGTGGGCAGACATGTAAACAACAAAGAAACTAAGTGTTTGTTGAGTTGGTTCAATGGGAAAATCGTGGATTTTGCAAAAGGTGAGATATGAGTTTAATGCGGACGTGTATGTGAGATGAGAAGAATTGTCAATTGATAATCCGAGTGCGATGGACCGTTCGTGAATCGTGCGTAAGGCGGTCTAGTGACCATGGCTCTCTCTGAGGTTGGCGAGAGCCACATGAGATGCTAATCATTTTTTGGCTACCCCCAGCGTCAATCGAGGGGGTTGAACGATAGTGAGGTGGCAAAAAGGCCAATCAGCATACAATGGGCATGAAGGAGCTTCACTTCGGACAGTCATTATTCTTGTGCCCGGATGAAAGGCACTTGCTGCAAACATGAAGCCGGCGACACTGAGTACTCTCAAGCGTGCACAACCCTTCATTCCAGCGGTTGCAAGGTTCAGATAGCCTTTTGCGCGAAGTCGCTGAGGGTTTGCCTGGGGTAGCAGCGGATGCACGTTGGACGACAGCGGCACCAATCGAATCCATGTGGGTCGATCTAAGGTCAAAGAACTTGTTGAAGTCAGTGAGCTCCAAGTCTCGACGAGCACCGACACGTCGCCGAACAGCCTTGTCAAAAAGGATAACACGATCATGAAAGTGTACATCAGTTGCGGCGAATAGCCCAATGATGTACTCAGCATATTGTGCAAGCTCGCCAGCTCTGTGTGGGAAAGCAGCGCATATAGCTCGTGACGACCGATTCCAAGTGATGCTCCACTCTCCCGCAGTAGATACAATTTTTGTTGGATTGACTGTTCCGAAGCGAATTTCAAAGTCCCCGATTTCCTCAACTCGTTCGTCATTATTGGATGTTGAGTAATATCCAGTGAGGACAGCGTCAAGGTTGATAGCACGTCCTGCGAGAACATTGGTCCATTCCGAATCTGGAAACTCAGGACAGCTGGGAGAATTGATGAGGGATCGTTTGGTTCCTTTTGGATCAATAGCATAGAGTTTGAGTAACTCGAGGGATTTAGAGAGTGACGGAGAGAGTGAAGCGCCATGAATGAAGTCCGAAATTGTCCAGGGGAATTTTGAGTCATCAGGTTTCGCTCGTTTAGGAGATGGGATGTCGCCGAGGTCTTCATCGTCGGGATTTGCTTCTGGAATAGGTTGGGGACTTTCTGAATGTCGACGACGTCAACGGTGTTCAGCTTCTGCGAGGTGTCCTTGATGATTCTCAATAATGGTGAGAAAACGGCTGAATGCCTCTTCAACTGTTGCTGAAGTCGACTCATCATCAGGGACTGCTTCCAATAAAGTCGTGTAAATCCTGCACAGCGCAATCCCTTTGGAGATCCGAGATGAACGATAGCCCTCGAGGATAGCATTGCAAGAGGCGAGAGCAGCATTGGCAATCGGGAAATTCCCAGATGTACCGGCAACAAACTCTTCGTCTCCTGTAGCGCCGGACCTCTCATTGTCAACAATGGGTTCTTGACCTTGATTTGGATTGACTGTTGATGGATTTGAGTCTCGTTCTCCAACTTGAGCGTTGGATTGTCGTGTGGAATTTGTCTCAGCAGCAGAACCAGAATTAGGAGTAATAACAGCTTCATTGCTCGTAGACATAGAAAGTGTAGTGATTGAAGATGTTGAAAAGATCTGATGCAGCCGTAGGTTGAAAGGTAAACGCGCAAACGAGAGCTAACCGATAGCAAGCTCGAGTGGAGGTAAGACGAGGGAGTTGTCTTACAACTTGAGGTGGCTCCCCCCGTGGGTGAGTCTCAAGTATACGGCTCGCCCGCACTGGAAATCGCTAGTCTCCGAGACTAGGAGTATCTCGGGGAGAGGAGAATATTTCGTCCCCAGGCACCCGTGCGCCCCGATTAGACTATAGTAAAAATATTTTTAAACTCGATTTTTGGGGGTGGGCAATTCCCGCTAAGTGACAATCATGTCACATCACACATGTCACATGATGCCATCACGAAACACTGACCCAGTCGCACCATCACTGCAATCCATCTCTGTTCCATTGAACGACATGCAGGAACGTGATTTGGATAGAAAATCTATAAATCCTTCAAGTAGCCATGTATTATTATTTACTTATAGTTGTGGAATGAGAAAACTCTCTGCCAAATGGTGCTGAAGAGGCCCCCCATTCTGGTACCTTGGTTCCCCCTTCAACAACTCATTTCTGTGTAAACTTTCATTATTGACAGTTAATATATGTGATTATAGGCACAAAATGTTCAGGCCAGAATTTTAAAATCCCATTGCCTTTGCACTAAACCCATCCAAAAAATGCGATATTGCACACTTCCAGGACAGATATAAAAAATCTATCAAGAACATTTTGTTTGATCTTTTTTCTGATCATCTTTCGTTGTT